TGTCAACTCCACTGACCGTAAAAGAAAGGACCTCGAAAAGGCCCATGGACCACCTGTTGATAATCTCAGTCGTAGCTTGTTTTGCGGCTCCGGACACCTTTTTTTAGTGAGACAAGCAGCACAAATGGCTCTTTTGATCATAAAGGTTGTAGACCCCTGTGCTAGGCACTGTATGTGCAGCATGTAGCATCTTTAGCAGCTAATCTTTAAACTAAAGTCATCAAAAAATCATAATAACTAAATAAAATAGCATTTAATGAAATTTAAATTATGAATACAAAAACTGACATATGTAAAATATGATGAAAAAAGTGTTTGCTATTTGTTGTTTGACTAACTTCCGAACAATGTTTATAAAAATATCAGTGTGGTTAAGGAAATGTTTTTAATCTGAAAGGGTTAAACTGGAAGTATGACAAGTTAGACAGAGCTTTAACTCTGGTTTGGATTAGTCGATTTGCCACAGATAATCTCACCCACCTTCAAATTAAACCAATAGAAAAGTTCCGCTAATGTAGTCATCTGTTTATCAGATTAGTGATAGTAAAGCTAAGATTTGTTTTTAGATTTCCAAAATATTGCATTTTGTTTTTATTTACATTTTATACATATCATATCCACATAATACAGAATAATAGCTGTCTTTTTTTTTTCTTTCTCACATGATCTCTTTCTCCTCAGGCCTGCAGACCCCCACTCTGCTTCTGAATAATTTTGAACCCTATGAGAATGAGGAGTTTGTAGCYACATGCAGCGCTCCAGAGGAGAAAGGAAAGCTCCTATTCTACTTTTACAAAAGATTTCGTGGTGGAGATCCTGAGATGATAAAGAGTGTCCGAAGTACTGGGAATATTTCAGAGACCACTCTGAGTCTTAGTCACTTAGGACACTGCTTCCTGTCCTGTGATTATGAGATCAATTTGGCTTCTGGGACCAGACGCGCTAACAGAAGCGATGACGTTGGTGTGTTAGTTAAAGGTGAGTGCTAATACTGTTTGTCAGTAGAGAATTGTAAAATTGCATGAGACTGTGCCTGAATGAATTGACTTGCGTCTTCCAGTGCTCAACATTAACCCAGTTGTAAATACGTTGCCCTCCGACACTGTCTACGAGGGGGACCTTGTAGAGTTTCACTGTAAAGTGGTGGACAGTCGTTTGAAGAACATTGAAGTGTTTCTCATAAAGGACAAAACGATTCTCAAAAAAGGCAAAACAGCTCTTGTTCATCAACTTAGAACACAAGCAGGCGACTCAGGGGAGCTTGTTTGTAAAGCACAATGGGAAAATGTCCAAAAGGAAAAGCATATAACCCTCACAGTTAAAGGTGAGTACCTATAATTATAAAAGGTCATAAGTGTAAAAAAAATATGTAATATTCTTGCATTTTGCCTTCTAATCCCAACAGAACTGTTTTCAAAGCCACAGCTGACTCTAAACCCGACAGACCCATATGAAGAAGAGCGCTTCCAACTCATCTGCTCCATTTCCATTTATGTTCCTGATAAAATCAATGTCAACATGATCAAATACRTCTACTACAAGGATGACAAGGAACTGACCACATCAAAAACCTATATTTCTGTGGCACAACCTGAAAGAAATGGCAACTACACCTGTAAGGTCACGGCTACATCTATCCATGCAACGTTCTCTAAGCTGAGCCAAACACTTCATTTTCAAGCTAAAGGTAAGTCCGCTTGTGCAGGAAATTGCAACTAGTTGTATATTTGTCAGCCCAAATAAGCCAAATGTGTCTTGTCCAATTCTGGATCGCACAATTCAYAAACACCTGTCTGCCATGTGGGACTCTTTTCCAGTGTATGTTGAGCAGCAAAGTTGAGTAAGAGAGTTGTGTCCATGACTTGTTATGAGTTTCATGTGTTGACAGTCATGTGCCTGATTGTCACCTGACTGTCTCAYGGAGCAGGGTGTGTTCTCCAGAATGTGGGAATGGAGAGAATGGAATGGCCTGCCTGCTGTTCCAACCTCAACCCCAATGAACACTTGTGGGATCAGTTCGGACATATTTTGTTCCAGTGTGATCACAACCACATCGGCTGACGTGCAACAAATGCTGGTTAAGAATGAGACAGCAGTGTGTGACCAACTGGTGATAAGGATGAAGAGGAGGTGCCAGGCTGTTGTGGCTGTGTAGGGTTCATCCACATGCTACTGGTGCCAGATTTTTTTCATGAACATGTTAAAATGCCACRGTGTTTTTGTTCCTTCAGGCGTCAATCATCCAATAAACAATTCCAAACATTTCTAAATAAACTGTTTGGCATTAGCAAAAATACATTTTCAAGTTTTTCATGGACATGATGCATAAACTCAACCCTGCTGCTCAAACCACAAATGTATTTTCCAAGCAAATGTGGCACCATTTAAGAGGAAAAYAACCAATGTTTCAATGATATAAGATTTATAGCCAAGAAGCATTGTTATAAAAACACACAACTAAACAACTGTTTGTTTGTTTTCACAGTTCCCGTTTCAAAACCTGTTATGAGTGTAGTAGGGGGCACACTTTTGTTAGGAAAGAGTTTTCAGCTGCGTTGTCACAGTGACAAAGGCACTCTTCCAATCACGTACGTCCTGTTTAGCCCCCACAATAAGCCCGAGCTCCGAGAAGTCACCAAGTCRGGGGAAAGAGCCATCTTCAACCTACCTCCCATCTTTAAGCGCTCAGACTTGGGCCAATTTCATTGCAACGCTCAAAACAATCGACGCAACAGTCCCCTGACAGGAGAGGGAGAGCAGCTGCAAAATTCAACCAGAATCATAGGTACGAAGCGGTCAGAGTGCGGTCGATAAAACTGTTTCAAACAACGTTTGAGTGTCTCTACTTTTTCTGTACCGTGCAGAGTCGTTGTCACAACCAGTGTTGAGTGTTCGACCCGACGCGTGGGACATCTCTGAGGGTCAAAGTGCAACTTTCACCTGCTCTGTGCAGAGAGGCAGTTTTCCCATCACCTTCACATGGTTCAACACGGAGACAAAGGATCCACTTGATATCCTGACTACTTATGAAATGGAAGGATCCTACGTCATACAGAATATCAACGGGAAACACAAAGGGAGCTACTACTGTGAGAGCACGAATGCTGCCAATGAAGTCAAAAGGAGCAACATTGTCATGATTGGGGGTGAGTTTTATTGTTTGGCTTAGCTCTGGAAACCAAATATATTTACTTCCTTTAAAGCACACACTTCACTGCAAAAATTGTCCATCTTGCCAAGTTTTAAAATCTTATATTCAGCTAAAAAGTCTTTTTGATCTTGTTTTGAGACTGATTTACTAAACAAGAGAAGATTGTGTAAGAATAATGATCTTGTTTTCAGAATGTGTGAGATTATTCGTCTTGTTAGCCTGAAAACTGGACTCAAATTTAGTCAAAACTTTCTGCCAGTGGAGTAAGAAAATTTTACTTAGTAAGATTCTTGAAATAAGAAAACATTGAGTCAAATCAAGTATTTCAAGAATC